CAAATTGTTAATGTGAATTTGAGGATTGCTGAAAGATATTAACATTAAAAACTGTAAATAATAAATAAATTTTTTCTTACAGATCAGTAATTTTAGCTGGGAAAAAAGAGCTAAGCATTTCTTTTTTTTTTTTTTTATTGTCATATACTTTTTGCACAAAGAATAATAACACCAAAAAAAATAAAAACAGTATATTAATAGTAAAATTGTTGATATTTTGTTTTGAAGTTTTTAGCAATTTATTGTTATAATTCAATTAAACAATTGTATTGATCATTGTTAATCTGCTTAACATTTAGTCATTATTTGATCTGTATGTATTTAAACGTTTGATAAGACAAGAATTGAAGAACAGTTGAATCTGTTCACTGTTTGTACAGTATATGTATTTTTTACTTTTTTTTTTGCTGTATCTTTGATTTTTTTTCTCTTAAATTTAAAAATTATACAAGACTTGTTTTGAAGGTTAGTGAAAAAGAACAAGAAAAAGTGCGGAAAGAAAATGAACAAAATATCAGCGGTATCCAGGAAAAAACATTTATGATTTTCAACAGTATGAAGCAATTCAAAATTACTGTTTCACTACCACTGCTATTAATTCTATCACTTGTGGTGCAGGTTTATATTTCAAAATTTTTCTTTACTTTTACTCTATTGAAAAAAAATAAAAAGAGATAAAAAAAAAATTATTCAAATAAGAGCAATATTTTTTTTTTTTTTTTTGATTTGAAGAAATTTGTTGTGCATTTTGGTTTTCAGATAATTGCCGGAAAAGGTGATCCATTGTTGGCAAAAACAACAGGTAAAGATTTTTCGGCTCATGATGCAACCGATGAAGAATATTATGAAGATGTTGAAGAGGAAGCCTATAAATTACGGGTAATACGGGCTTCAAAAGGAATTCTATTTGATCAAGGGTAAATTGCAAATTTTTTTTGTATTTGCTGCTCCATTTGCATATCATTTCACACCAACAGCTGTGTGCCTTTAGTAAAAAAAAAAAATGGTTGATTGATTGATTTAACAACTTTTTAAACTTATTTGAACATTGGTTCAATTTTATTGCTGTTATAGTTAAACAATTTAATGATGATAAAAATGGTTGTGCATAGAAAAAATTTCACAAGCAATTAAAAAAGTGTTGTTTGAAGATAAAAAAATTTGTTTTCTCTTTTTTTTCTCCTCCCCCCCCCTCCCCCTCCCCCTCAAATGTCAATCTATAAAAAAAAAATGCTTTTTTTGTTGTTGTTGTTGTTGTTTTTTAGTTCAAAAGTTTTTTTTTCTCTCAAAAAAAAAAAACATAAACTTATAATTTAACTGATATAAACATAACTATAATATATTCATTTTATATCACCTATTTAACAAATTTTATTTCCAAATTTTTTTTTTTTTTTTGACTTTGTTAATTATAAAAAAATTTGATTTTTTTTTCTACTATTTTTTGTAAAATATTTCTATTTGTTAAGCTGTCAATATTATCGTTTAAAAAAAAAAAAAAAATTTCTTTTGCTAATTTGTTGTCTGAGTTATTTAAAAACAATCAAATAGAACAAAAAAAAAAAAAAA